TTATGGAAGCATGAGCAGAACAATTCAGACCCTTCATTTAGTCGAGGCTGGGCAGGTTGGAGAGACAGCATTCTCTTGGACATACTGTTTGCTTTTCTTGCTTCCTTTAAGAAGCCCATGAGGGCTTAGTCTGAGCTGCTGTAACAAAATGCCTATATTTGGTGTATTAGGAATAACAGAAACCTAAATTCTCATGATTCAGGAGGCTGCGAAGTCTATGACCATGGCACCAACAAATTCCACCTCTAGTGAGGGCCCGAGTCCTAGTCCATACATGGTGCTTTCATGCCGTGTCCTGCTGGTGGAAGGACCAGATAAGCTTTGCCAGGCCTCTTTGATAAGGCACTGATTTCACTGATGAGAGCTCTGCCCTCTTGACCTCGTACCTCAAAGGCCCCACCTCTGAATACCATCCATTGGGACTTTGGTTCCACCATATGCATTTTGGGAGAACACAAACATTCAGACCATAGCTGTAATAGAAGCTGGTGTCCCTCCCCTTCTTCCTCTCCTCTTTACTCCCTTAATCTCATAGTCTTAGAAAAGAGATTTTGTTTTCTGAGTGGCTTTGTTAAAAGTCTGGTTGTGGAAAGGTAGATTACTATTCTATATTTCAGGGTAAAATAAGACATTTGTTTCATACACCAGCAGTCTCTTCCATTTGTCATGGTTGTGAGCAAACTGAGTTGGACTTCATAGTCACGTCGTTTCCAGGATTTAACAGTCCCCTGGGTAACTTTATACAGAAGTATCCTTTATGTCTTAATTTCCTTCTCTCCACCCTCTACGTTTTTCTGTTATCTCCTTTAATCTTGGAATAATGTTATATATAAAAGAACCCAGCACTAATCTCTGCTTCACCCTAGGTGGTGAGAACATGGTTTCTTTTTATGAGTTTTTCAAAGTGGAAGATAAGGAAAATGCTAACAGCATAATTAAAGACAAAAATAAAAGAAGACTTAATGAGATTTTAATTCCTATGACATGGGCTCCTGTGAGGCTTTTCGTTAAGGTCTAATTTCTGACAGTCACAGATAAGAGAGGCCAGCTCATGTTTTTCATTTCTGGGATGTGATTTTTGAAGGAGCTATAAGGAATTTTGAAGGATGGAGACCCCAGTAGTCTCGAAGGGTATGGGCCGAACTCCTTGTCATGAATTCTCTCTTCCCTTAAAACAAAACAAAACAAATTGTGACTGACTTCTTAATTCCTTTTAAGTACTAAAGGGTCATTTGTGTGAAGAAAACCAACATGAATCTGAGGCTTCCTGGGATGACATTCATATAAAAAGTGAGAAAGGAAATAGGGTCAGGATGTTGAGGGGGGAACATGGTGAGCATGGCTAGAAGACTGAGAACAAAAACCAAAAATCAAATAGAAAAGGTTTCTTGATCCATTTTGTCCCATTATCTCAGATGTAGAACACTTATAAAAATTCACATATAGTATCTGATATATAATTATATAATATAAAATGAGAATTTAATTATTAAATATGATATTGATATAATAATCATATATAGGCTCTTGGTTATGACTTCCAACTTATTTTAATGCACCTGTGTCAACTGCATTAAAATATTTGCAGAATTGAGAACTTGGGACTTAATGGGTTAAGGGCCTAAATATCTGCTAGTTTACACTGGTGAAGCAGATCATACCATGGCAGTTGTTGCAATAGGGGTCAAGCACACTCAAGAAGTCCCAATATGAACAGAATAGCCTTCTTACTAGATTATTCTAAGGATAGGATGACAGGGGTAACCTATTGTCTGAACCGGTACATTTGTGAGTCTGAAAGGGGCAGTTCTAATAATTGTGCTGACACACAGGTGTGAACTATGACTACTCTAGGCAAGTCAGGATTCAAAGTCACCCTAGCTAGGAGTCACTTCAGTGGCCAATCATTTCTTTACTTCTGCTGTGCCTGTTGTCACAAAATGATAAAAATCACAGCTAACATAGCTGCCTATAAGCAAGACTTCCCGTGAACTATTACTATTCCCCTCAGCAACTTCAGAGAGGGATACAGCAAGCACAGAAAAAAATTACAACATATGTCTACTGTATTATTTCTGGAGGAGAGGGGATAATAATAATAAAGATACAGTAAATGGTGGTTTAGAGAAGTCCAGGAATGTACCCAAAGGAGTTTCACTCCAAAATACACACTGTCAACCATTATAACAACTCTCTTGCCTCTGGACAATATCTTCCTTCTTCTATTTATCTAAATTCTATGAACTTTTCTAAGGTCTGCCCCATGGCAGGTCTATAGGAAGCTTTTTATGGCTATACTACTTATTCTCACTGCTCCAGTTTTTAAAACCTCATTACACTTACAGTTAGCACTGTCTGGCCATGTGATGTACATGTAATAATCTCATCTCCCCAGTTGAAAAGGCAGGGATTTTCATTTTGTATCTGATACCATTTTCCAAACACAAAGGTCATTAAAAATATCTATTCTATTAACTCTGCAGGTGCCCACTTTTAATGACAGATCAGCTGGTTGAAAGGGCAGGCCTGAGGGAAGAATTCTATTTTAAAAGTTTAAATCTATAGATGTAAATACAAGTGTACATGTTATTTATGCTCATACAACCGCATACACCAAAGCACACTACTTCTCATAACTTGAAACTTGGTGAACTTGCCCCATTTCTCTACACCCTGCAAGTGGAAGTTGCATTTCCTGCAACTTTGGTCATTGCTTAATGATTCAAATCCCATAGTGGAATTTGTACTAATCTTGTGTTGCACATACAGAAAAAGAAGTTTGCATTTTTTAACTTTATGAAGTCTCTGGACTTGAAATTACACATGAACATGGATCCAGCTGAACTCATGTTATAAAGAGGTCTATCATTTTTGCACACGTCATTTTCTTACACAGGTTCCAAACTACTTACATCTGGGTATTATTCTAATAATCTCATCAGAAATTGAAAACATTGTAAGTTGAAAATGCATTTAATAAACTTAACCTACAAACAAGCTCAGCAACACAGTATAGTGCAGTGTCTCTTTTGTGTGGTAGACTGGGAGCTGTGGCTCACTGCATATAAGAGTACCATACCATATATCACTAGCCTAGAAAAAGACCAGAAGTACAATTTCTACTGAATGCACAGGGATTTTTG